AACTTCCACATCTAGGTGAAGTGTTTTTGTTTTTGTTTTTTTTTGGACTTCATCAAAGATACTTTCTGTGAATCTTTGTATAGGTTCACAATAATGTTTGTTTCCGTTTAAGATCTCAATTCAGTATAGATTTTTAGACTACTTAATTGAAGTTAAAAGCGATTTTTGAACTTTTAATTCAGCTGATTACCATCTCCACTAAGAAAGAACAAAAAAATGGTCAGTTTAATAATAATAGGGGACATTAGATTAGAAGTAGTGAATACCTTTTCAAAGGAGAGATTTGCTATATTTTTGGAACAGTTAGAGAATATAAAAAAGTTCATTCTGTAGAAGATTTGAATACAGAAATAAGTACTAATTCACCATGGGTATCATTACATTTATAAGCACTATCTAGAGGCAAGTTGTGGTGACAGAAATCATTAGGAACTTTAATTTCAAATTAAAAATGTATTAAACATTGGTTTTATAATTATATGAAGTTATAATTTATCTAATAAATATAGGATTATATTAAATCTGGGATTTTACAATTAACTCTGAAAGCCCTCCGATGCATTGGAATCCATTCTTTGAAACAGTAAAATTTCATTTGAAATTGTATGTATTGATTACTCACAGGCATTAAAGTCTTGAAAATTATTACCAGATATGAAAAAGATAGATTGTAGACTTAAAGATGATGAGCCAGAGGGAAAAACAACCAATATTACTTGGAAGAGAAAAAGATGAGTTTGATTATCCTGCTTCATTAATGTGGTCAACCAACAGAAGAAAATAAAGATGACCTATGAATTATTATCCTATAGTTAAAAAATGTGTATAATGAATTCTCTCTCCAGTAGCAAATGCTCCTGCAAGGCGCCAGCTCTGGCCTGAGACGTGCCCATTTCTGCTTGCAGGTGAAGTGGAAATCACTGCACTGCTTGACACGCTGTGTGCCGGTACCACTAAGGGGAGTGTGCCGAGGCTGTGGCCCGAGTCACATCTGCTCTGTCCTCCCCCTGTCACTTTCGGAGAGTTCTGTCACAACCCTTCAGGGTTGCGGGGAATGACTCTGTGTTTTGGTCAATTCTTGTCTTTCCTGGCGTAAGGAAGGGAAGGGAATCAAAGACAGCTTTTTAACTCCTTAAGTTTAAAAATTAGCCAAATGTGCCTTTAATTTAGAAGGCTGTGAGGTTCACTGTCAGATATAAAAACCATTTTAAAAGTAGAGACAGCAAAGGACCTCAAAGATTTATAAATAACTCAGTGTTTGCCATTATTTGACCCTGTAATTTAGATGGCTCACCTAGGTGTTCCACACTAAGGGTCGACCTGCTGTGGACACAATACACTGTGGATCCGTGATCCAGTTCAGGGGCAGCGTGGGGGTGGCCAGCAGCTCCCTCCCTGACATGGGGGCTGGTGGGGAGCGGGTCTTAGGCCATCAACTACTGGCCTCTCTGCACAGTCACTTATAAAACCTTACCATTAGCTGCCTTTGTCTTCCGTTCTTTTTTCAGGGGTCGGTGGAAGGGATAAAAGTTGTTAGGTTTTTTCATTCTCTTCCTTTCAGCTCTTTGCAGTGTTGCCTCCCTAGTAGCAAGTGACGATGACAAAAGAGGCAAAGACCATTCTGGGAGCGTGTTCTAACTTGAACGTTGCCACAACCGTGGCTGATTAGGAACAGGCAGGGTCTCTACATCGGCTCCGTGTAAAGGAGTGGGAGGCAGAAAGCCAGGGAGCCAGCCAGGCCCACCTCTCCCTCATGCCACCATCACAGGGCAGGGTGGGGCTTCTGGAAGGGGCCTTGGCCTTTGCAGTAGAAAAAGGGGCAGCTCAGGTTGTCAGGGAAAGGTCAGCACCATTCCGGCAGAGGTGAGGAGCGGGCACCCTCTGTGACACGGCTCTGCAACCCTACCAGGCTCTGTGACACCCTTGAAGCCTGGAGCTGGGCTGACTCATTGCTGTCCCTGTGAAACGAACACCGGACCTTCCTGTTTTAATCCCTGTAACGTGTCCTCACAGATTTCATGGATTTCCTCCTCTGGTCAACGGTACAGAAGGTTTTAATATATATGTGAGAAGATTTTATAATTTTCTGGCCACGTCCTTCCTTTGTACCAGAAACATATGTGACGATTCTTTTTGTTTTCCATGTTCTGGCCCTGAGTTATCACCAGTAGAGCAAAGAGACTTTTTATCCTTTTTGTGACTTTGCCACGATTCACCCTCCATACAAATGGCCTGGCTGCTATAGAAACATGAGAATGAGAAAGTGGGCAGTACATGGTGGCACAGAATAAAGGCTTAAATAAAGCAGTGGAAAAAACAACAGTATGGTGACAGTGGCAATAAACCTTTTATTATCAGTTCTTTGGAAAAACCCTCATATCTAATGTGACCATTCCTAGACTAAGGAAAAAAAAAAAGAATAGAACCTAATCCTCCTTTTTGTGTGTGTGATTTTGGAATACTATCTCCTTTTTTTTAAAGGTGTTTTTGAAATTGGAATAAAAGTTCCTAGCTTTTGCACCTTATTGTTTGATTAAAATATAAAATATATGCTCATCTGAGACACATCTATAAACATCCTGGTAGGTACAATATGTGGGGCTGTAGTGGCTAATGTCTACAGCAAACACAGATAGCTAGAAATTTCTTCAACAAGGCTTGTGTTTACATTTCTACTATGTTGGAGAGTAATATGCAGATTCAAGAAAGAATTTAGGAGCTGGCCGTGGACGTCAGTGACAGTGTGGCCTCCGCTCTGTTTTCTACTACAATATTCAAGATGTGTAAACATCAACCTGAGAGAGCCAAACATACTATCATTCATTTGGAGTCTCTAAAGTCCTTAGTCAACACAGTACATCTTACCTAACACAAATGTTTAGCCATTGAAGCAGAAGTACAGTCATTAATGAATGTTTTAATTGTTCTTCCCTGCTGAGGGCTGTTCGCCTGTTTCTATCAGCGAGGAGTTCTGTATGTGAAGCTACTGTATGGAAAAATATTCATATACAAATATCCACCACAAACCCTGAAGGTATTGTATGGCAGATTCAAGAACTGTGTATTATGCCACGTAACCACTGAAAAATGCATAATGTTGAGAGGAATGTCTGGAGAGTTTCACACATGACAATTCAGATTCAGGCAGAGTAATAGCTAACACTTACACCATTCAAAATAGCTAACAATTAAATAGTGCTTACCAACTACCAGGTGTTGTTCTAGCATATATATAATTATAATACTGATTTCATAGTCTAGACTCTAGAGTATATTTCTTGCCTTTTTGGTGGCGGAGAATATATATACTCACAGAATCTTCATAATTACCCAAAGAAATAACTACTATAATCATCCCCATTTGTAACTAAGAAAAATAAATCATAGAAAGCTTAAGAAACTTGCTCAGGGTCCTATAGCTAGAAACTAATAATTCTGGGATGGAAACACAGGCAGCCTGGTTCCAAGGTCTATGCTTGCATCCAGTTCACTGTACTGCTTCCAACTAGTTTCTTCTAAGAGTAAATATTTCACTCGAGTGTCAGGTAAGAAACATATGAGATAATATAAGCCTTCTTCTGATTTTGACTAAATTCAATCTTCCTTCTGTTTTTCCTGATTTCCAATTTCCTGTCATGTACATATATTAAAAGTGACAAATCTCACGTGTGAGAGGATATGCAAGTCAAATCATGAGTGCACCACAGCGGTGGCCCTATCTTTTGCAATGGTTTCCTTCGCATGTCTCCTGCAACATGAAGAGATGGTTTCCTGGCGTGGTTGGTGGTTAGTCTCCTGCGCTGATGGCGGCTCTAGTGGAACCAGCAGCAGATCCGCCTGCACAGATGAACCTCTGGCAGATATGCTGAAGAGCCAACAGGTTCAACCACTCCGTCTCACAAGAATGCTCTCTCTTCACTATCAGCTTCAAAGGATTTAGGTTTGGCTTCGACGTACATGGGAAGTATAAGGGTGTTCCTTATTTTACTCTCATGGTGAGTGCAGGAAGAGAACCCATCTTCTTTGAGCCCCTTTATGGGAATCACAATCATGGCCACAAGACAGGAAATAAGAGGATAAAAAACACATTCTAGACTATGACTGGATCTGGTTGGAAAGATAGGTGTTCTCTTCCTCTAAAACTTAATGTGATGATGATGGGAGATTATGATCTTCCTTCACAACAACAAAAATTAGGAGTGACTTATATTTCTTCCCTGTTAACATTCATTTACCCCTTTTCTCTTGTACAACCAGTTATCCAAAAGCAAGTAGCCAGCCACATCTTCCTAGTTAGTCTTGCTTAGTCTATACTATGCTGGCCTATCCCAGAGGATCATATTTCCAAGAATCATATTTGAAATCCCTAGACTTTAAGATGCTCATTGTGAAGATGAGCATTCTTCTAATCTTCTTTAGGCTGTAGTGGACAACAGAAATAAGCATATGAGTTAGAGAAATGATTCTCAGTGGGGTAGTTTGAAAAGGCAACTTATTCCTTTTTGGAGGGGCTTCAAATATATCATGAAATATAATTTATATGAAACTTATAATGACATTAAACAAAAACCTGAGATTAGTATATTTACCAAAAAGTGGACATAGTTTTCAAAAAATTACTTTAGAGTGAATAAGAAACTATGAACAAAGGTCATAGCCAAAGCTACTCAGAACATAAGGAAGGAGTTTTAAAGGAAAAATCACATCTTTGGTTATTTCACTAGATTGAAGGAGCAAGAAAAAGTTTCAAACAAAAAGTTGAAGGCAAAGGTGGTGTGAACTAACTAATTCAGTCTGAAATTGTATTCCCTGTAATCATTATCATAGGGGTAACATGTACCATTTTAATGGTCTTTGGCACAGAGCTGAGGCTCCTTGGCATCTATTTACCTGATGGGTAAGCTCTCTAAACTCTTCCCATAGACTACTGTGCAGCGAAGACTCAAACCTGCCCACATGTTTTCTCCAGTCCAGATGACACTGGCTACCCTTCCACTTACGTGAGCTTTTGAAGTCTTTCTTTTTCAGTCTCCTTCTCATCATGGTTCCACGTGGACTGGTGGAGTAGAGGCTGCGAGGTAAAGTCCCCATGTTCAGGGAGCTCAGGCTGTATGCACTCATGGAGGTAGGAGAGAAGGATGAAGACACCAAAGCTGCTGTAAGAGAGCGAAGACTTGGCACACAGCATTCTCGCGGGTTGGGGAGTGAGCCTACCACACTTGCCAACTACTAAGTAACAATCCAGAAACACACACATGATGCACAGTCATAGCTAGCAAGTACCCGGGCCAGACAGAGACCAGGCGCCAGGAGCCAAGGTGGTAGTGCTTTTAGAAGCCGAGTTACCAGAGCCCATAGACACCCGAGGAGCAGCGCCACCCTCGTGAGCACAGCGGAGCACAGAGAAGTTCTGAGTTTTACTTTAGACACACGCACAGAACCCCCAACACTGAGACACGCACACAAAACACCAAACATTAAAACAAGTTTCTACACAAACACCACAATACATCAGATACATTATCTCATTTTCATAGCTACTTTCTGACATGAATTTCGCAAGGGTTCCACATATACAAAGGAGATCTGCAAACATCGTGCGCTGTACCATATTCTGAATTGTTATCTCCTGACCACAGATAAAGCATTCTGAACATTTTCATCTTTTCCTAATGACAGATGCTTTCTGGTGGAAAAGAAAAAGACTCAGGAGATGTCAGAAATGATAAGTTGCTATTACAAAAAGAGGGAAAAAAAGCATACGACACCCATGAAGCCAAATACAATATGAATCAGATGAGCAAGGAGGGAGAAGGATACTTGTATAATTGAAATAAAAGAGCAGGAGGAGAAAGCCTGGAACATTACGAGGGCTGTTGGGAGGAGGCGCTTTCGGGAATGTCAGGGCAGGCACTCGGCAATGGTCAGGGCGGAGCGTGTTATAGTGACGGTGGGTGTGCAGGCTGCAGTGGCTGCTGGCCCAGGAATCCCAGGTAGGTTGCCTGTCGCTCCTCTGAATTTTCACTGCCCACATGAAGTGATGATGGGAAATAAGAAAAACAAACAAAGAACCAAAAAAGAGGAAAAGTAACTGAATTGCACAAATAAAAAGTATAACAAAAATGAAAGCCTCTTCCTAAAATAAAAAAAAAAAAAATAGAAAAGAAAAGGGTATCTACTGTCCACTGGCTTTTGCCCTTTTCTTCGTGGTCAGCAAAACAGATGATTAACATCAGGATGGAAACTTTCGTCTTCCCAAGAATAATGCACGTCTCCCCAGCCCAGTTTTTTCCTCTTTTAAAGATGTCTCTTGAATCAATTTCTAATCTCCCCCGGTGCTTCACAGCAGAGATTAAAAACATTTTTTTAAACTTAAAAGTCAACCCCATGATGATTTATGGCACATGATTAGTAATTGAAGATATGCAAATCTTGGCTAGTTAGCAGCACTTATTTTGAGAAAGAAGAAAGAAGAAACAATAAATCAAATGGATTCATGATTCAAGTGGTTTACTGGTCACACATCACAATCTATTGCTCTGACATTTTAATTACACTATGATCCATCACTTAGACTTAATTTTTCTAAACAATAAACCACTTTAATCATCTATCAATAACAGAATCATATCTATATCCTATAAGAAGATAAAAGTCTTAACATATTAAATTTTTTTTATTTTTGAAAGAAGATGATTACACTTGAAAGCAACAGTAATTCTTAAAATATTTCACATGTTCTTATGTTTTCTGAAGATGCTATAAAATTTTGATAAAGTTTATTTTTAAATTTTGGCATCCTCTTTATTTAAAAAAAATGTATATTGTATTTCCATTCTAATTTCAGTATTGCTTAAATTTGATTTCCTACACATTGTTCTAAAGTATGACCAATATTGTTTGTTACTATGTTTCATATGAAATTTTTCATTTAACAATCTTAAAGAATTAAAAATAACATATGAATTTATATCTCTCTACTGTCATGATTTTAATGTTAGATGCTGTACATGTGAGTAATTTAACAGCATGTAATCATGCCAGAAGGTCAAATACTCTAAGTATTTAAAGGAGGGTCATTCGGACAGGAGCTTGTCTTCCACCTGTGATACCAGCCTCCCTGTCCACTCTGGAGGCTTTGTGGAATGAGGGAGTACGCAGAACGAAAGCCCTACAGCACGGGTGGACCACCATGGGCTGAGGCCAGCTGGGTTCCACTCTGGTTCCAGCCCTTCCTTTCACATAATCTTGGCCAGTGAGTCAGCCCCTCTAAGCCTCAGTTTCCTCATATGTCAAATGGATTTCCTGAAAGCATCTACCCCACAGGACAACTGTGAGAATTATGTATACAGGTGCTTAGCATGGTGCTGGTACACACAATAAAAACAATTGAGCTCTGAGTAATAATATTGATTCTGCCTGCGTTCTATTGACTTGCCATAAAATGAAGTATCCTTTAAAGGAAACAGATGTGTCTCTCACTCAACACATTTCACACATTGAACACTTAAGTTTAGAGAATATCTCAGAAATCTGCAGCCACCATAATTTTGCAGCCCTAACCTTTTGACTCTTACCTTCTACTCCACTGCTCTTTCTAGTTTGGGGTCCAGGTTCCTCACCACGATTCTAGTTTCAAGCAACATCTGCCTCACCTAGACCGCTGCCCCACTTTCACACTTGGCTCCGTGATTCGTCTCCTGCATACCTACCTTTGGGTATCCACCACACAGGGTGATTTTTAAAATTCATAGGTTAGATTATGTCACTCCCATTTAATCTACTTCAATGGGTTACAATTACCAAGAGATTCAGATGTGACCCCTACTTATCTCTCCAGCTGCAGGCCCCATCTCTTTCCCTGTCATTGACTGTTACAGCCACACAGGTGTTATGTTTGTTTTTAACACAAGCCAGGCTCCTTGCTGCCTCAGGGCATTTGCACTTGCTATTCTGTCTGTCTCTAATATTCTTGTCCCAGTGGTTGGCATTGCTTGCTCCTTCTCATTATTCAGGTCTCAGTTCAGGGGCCATCTCCTCAGAGAAGCTGTGGCTGACCACCACGGCCAAAGTAGCTGCCCTCTCCCACGCTATTCCGTTACAGTTTTATATTCTTCATAGCACTCACTACTGTCTGAAATAGCTTCATTTGTTTAATATATTTTCAGTGTTTGCCTTTTAAACTAGAAGTCCATGAGAATAAGAATCTACTTTGCTGTCTTGCTCACTAGATGTATCATAGGAACTTTAACAGTGCCTAGTACATAATGACTGAGGAGTGAATGAATAGCAGAATGCACGCTGCATAGGAATATCAGCAAGAGTGTCCACGACTACACTACAGCAACATTTTCCTTGTGATAAAAAGTGTTGCGAGGGAAGTCCCTAAGGGATTCTCTTTCAAACCTCCTTACTCTACTTTGTGGTGTACAAAGCAATTTTTTATAACAATGCACAATCACTGCTGGGTCAGGCTAGTCTACACCCACAGCCACTCTCTTTTACTCTTTACAAAGTATTGTCTGCGTTTCAAATGAAGTACAGTGAGGGGACTTCAGAATTCTAAACTTAATTTTTAATCCAATTCTTTATAGAGTGCTTTGAAAATAACTGGGCATTTTTAGGTACGGTCAGGCCCAATTAATAAATCAATAAAGAAGGTAAGATTGACAATCTATGGTGTGCGTAACACTGTGTTAATTATTGTAGGCAGGCTAAATGTAGGCCATCATTTTTACCCTAACTTTGAAATATTATTGGGGACTAATGCTTCATGCATATGAAATAACTGAGACAAAAAGGATATAAAATAATGAATAAAATTGCCTGTCATTTGTAATGAATACAAAAAGTATTCAACAAATAATGTAGGCTGAAGATAGCCACTGTCTGTTCTGAATGTTCACCGCAAAGCTATGTTGTTTTATGGTGGTGTACCTTGTAGTCTTATATTAGGCAAGTATTTCAGGAGTTTAAAATAAAACATTATATTTTTGGCACACTATTTCATTTTGCAAAAAAACATTCTCCCAATTATTGGTCCCAATAATAACAGAAAACTTTTACTGACTACTTGCTATACGAGGCGGGGGGGTGGGACCCAAAGAAAACCCAGAATTATCTTCTGGATGGTGAGCCCCTTGTAGTACAGGCTTCCCCCACGAGGTGAGTGCTCTAGGAACCCATCTGTGTCACGCACCAGCTGGTGGTGTTGTGAGAGGCTGTGTTCAGCTTCCGCGAATTTTTTTGAAGACTCTTTCAACGCGTTTGCCCATTTCATGATGGGTGATTTACAAGTGCACCTGCCCACACTGCACTGAGTGTTCTGCAGTTTTTGATCAAAAACAGCATGACCCTTGTGAACCACCCTCCACATGCGTTGGATCTCACCTGGTGTGCCTTTTTTTTTTGTTGTTTCCCCCAGATGAAAAAAGACCTCAAAGGGAAACATTTTGCTGATATGGATGAGGTGAAACAAAAAAACAGCAGAAGCACTAAAAGGCATCAAAATTGACATGTTTGAAACTGTTTTGAGCAGTAGAAAAAAATCTCAATAAATGTATTGCATCAAATGAAGAGTAACTGAAGTTTGAGTAAAATAAGAGGAACCTTAGTTTGAAGGTGACTGAAGTTTAAACATACAAGGATACACAATTTTTTATAAATAAATTCAGGTTTTGGGGGGTTCCCCCTTGTGTACCAGATACTGGGCTAAGTGTTTTCTCATAGATTATCTCAGATAGTGTTCCCAATATAACTATGAGTAGGCATTATTATAACACCCATTTTACAAAGAAGAAAGTGAGGTATAGAAAAGCTGGATAGCTTGCTTTAGGTTCCAAATGGTAGGGTCATAGTTAAACCTCTGGAAGTCTGACTCTACAGTCCCTTCCCTCAGGCACACACTACCCTGCTCCTTCCTGTGGGTGTTCCTAAGTCCTTCGTTACAGATAAATAGTTACAGTACAATGCTTTTCTCATCATTCTATGGTGACATCATTGCTGAAGTCTTAAGAGGTATCTGGCAAGAAGTTGTTCATTTTCCTCTCTAACGGTGCCCTCTTGCCCCATTGGGACGTCTGAGGGTGCAGGCCACAGCCTCTAGTGATGGCTCCTGGAACGCCCCGATGGACACCTCTTGGTACGGAATATATCAAACGTCGTGGCTCTGCTCACATGTTCCCTCACAAAGCCTCACTTTCTTTCCATTATGATTATGTCTCCCAAAGACCCACAGTGGGAACAATGTCTAACCTCATTGAAAACTCATTGTTGTTGGCATAATTACCAGCAAAAGGCACAGTTAATCTCTGATTCTTAATTCATGTGCCCATTTCCATATTTCATGAAAACACTGTGGTGAATACTTTGTTGCTAAGCAAAATTTGGAACGTGTTGTATCCCCATCCATTTTTGGATCGAGAGACATGCTATTCAGGCATCAGAGATCTTGAAAAAATAACTAGAAATTTCTTCTGGAAAAAAGTCCACTATATATAAAAACAGAAGTTTGAAAATTATAAATGCCATATTTTTTCTTGTGTTTTTTCTCTTCATAACTGTGATTTAATTATGTTTAAGAGACAATATTTATTTCATTTTGGAAATGCAAGTCTGATTTTAATGTAAAATATAGGGAGTTGCTTATATGCCACATAAGGATGATGGTGAACAATTTTCAGCAAAAGTGCATGATGTGGTCAGAAATTAGAATTACTTAAATTACCAGTTCCCTGAGTAATTGTAAACAATATCATGTGTTCCACAGGGAAGAAAAAAATTTGTTCTTGGTCTCCATACATTTTAGTGTATACATTTATTTTATAAAATTGTCTTGGTAGGTAAAAATATTTATGACTTCACAAATTAGAAACTATTTGAACCATTTATGATTTGCATACAGGACAAATAAAAAGGAGAAAAATTAGGTTGCTAAGGCCAGTGACATTTTTAGAGTCTGTTAAACATTTCTGATTCATGGACACCTGAATTTACCAAGCAAACTCTTATGCTGAGAAAACACTACATAGTGTGCATTGTTCCACCTGCTGTGCTCCAAATCCAGTGAGGACTTTGGATTAATTTGGAAAAAACTCAACAGTTCCAGAAATCTCTCAGCCAGTGTGCAGGCCGGAAAGGCCCACAGGACCTCCTGACAGGAACAGCATGCACCCCCCGAGTGCCTTACAATTGCTATTCAGATGAGGCAGAATTTCTTTTCATAAGCTGCCTGTGCGGCATCATTTCTCCACTCCAATGTGTAAAATTAAAATCTGATAAAGGTAATGCTGTACTAGAGGTTTTCATTAGCTCCGGGGCTGTCTAAGCACCATTTAATTAAAAAACGTTGCATCCAGCTGACTCAGTATGAAAATTATCTGGTCCCTCTCCGCCCCCCCCCCCAAATCTGTGGAAAGTGCAGTGTATTTTAGAAAGTGGGAGACATGTAATACAAATGACCTTCTCGTAGGCAAAATTACAATTCCAGAGAAAATTGTTCTCTTTCTCTAAACATACAGAAGTGCGTTCTTCATCTCTAGGGCAGTGTGAAGTCACTAGTGAGGCTTTAAGGAATTGATTTCAAAGAATAAAAAGAGGGTTACTTGGCTTAAGGAAAAGGATGGAAATGGAGTTGGAACAAAGACCCCACTGGGGAGTCTTTCTTCATTTGATTTTGGGTTAAACGTACTTTTCCTCGCACCAGGTGCTGTTAAAAGACACCTAGCTGGAGTGGGGCAGAAGTGAGTTTATAGTTGTGAGTATGTGAAACACAGAGTTTATTCTTTTGTTATTATTTGTTAATTATTATTTTATTTTCCGCACAAACAACTGTAAATTTACTTTTGCCCCACCCTGTAAATACTCAGCAATCATATCTGTGATCTTCAGGATGGTAACAATGCAGATTCCTCAGCTGACCCTTGCTATTGAATAAATGCAGTCAAATATGATTCTCTGAGGAAAGATGTTTGGTCAAAAAGGTTGTTCTCCATTCTAAGAAATACACTAGTCTGGCAAACAGACAAAATATCCAGAAAGCCAGCCATTCATACAACCATTTTCCCTCCAAATATCTGAAGGGTCTGCTATTAATACTCACTTTATAAATTTAAAAAAATGAGAGTTTTACTATTTGCCTTCATTATCCTTCAAGCAGAGTGGAAATTCAATATAACAGGATGCCAAATTACTTCCCTTCTCTCCACACTCAATTTGCACCAAAGGGTTTTTTTTCACATCGAATATTATTAGCCTTAAATTCTTGAAAACATCCTCAAACAATGTTTCTTTCGCCAATTTGGGGTTTTCAAGTAAATGACATGTAGCTTGACAAAAAAGGTTTGGAGGATAAAGACCAATAAATAAAGATAATCTGTTGTTTTGAAAAGAAATGAGAAGAAACTCAGTATCTTTCTAACTCTGCTGGAACGAGCAAGCAATAATCGCAAGGAGAAGATAAAGAGATTCATCCAGACAGATCCTCTCACCGTGGTCGGGTCCCTTCAGAGCCAGGCGGGTCTGATGATGAGGAAGGATCTCCAGCTTGACCTGGTCCGTGGTGTTCGCCAGGAACTGGGTGGCTTCCGCCAGCGTGCAGTACTCCATGCTGGTCCCATCGATGGACAGGATGTGGTCCCCCACGTGCAGTGCACCGCATCTAGGGGAGGGAGACGTGCTCAGAGCTCTTCCTCTTTGGAATATGACTTTCATGTCCTTTGTAGTAAAAAATTCACACGGTTTCCATGTACTCACAGAAAGGAAAGTTGGAGTGTTACAGGAGATACCACCTGTGACATGTTAAGTGCCTACGAATGGGAACGTAAAACCCTGTAGAAAATACAGAAACACTCAAGGAAATGCTTTACTGCTGTCCTTCAAAAACAATTATTTTGAGTAATGGTGCCAAAATTTGAGGGAGAGTGAGCAGGAAGAAAGGGAAGGATAGGAAAAACATTTCCCTTGACTTTTTTTCTGTGATTTTTCTTCGTGGGTTTTCATGTTTAAAAATATGAGTTGGTAAACATTCAGAATGTCGAGATGTGACTTGCAGGTTGGAATAGGGTCGTTTACAGCTATTTTATGTCTAAAGGGGAAATAACTTGGGGGGAACTCAGCTAAGGCTCTCCACAATCCTTTCACACAAGCTCCCAGAGGACCAGTTCTTCATTATGGTTGTATTTTCTTATTCTGGAGTTATACTTTTATTAGTACCAAAGCTCTTGAAGATGATGGAAATTATGCAGGAAATAATAAAAACAAGCCTGCATGGTGCGAGAAGGGGAAAGCTGGGGGAGGGGAGGGGCTGGCTTGTCACTGCACCTTGCTGAACTCAAGAGACTGGCTACTGGATGAGTTGAGAAAAGCAAGCACGGCAGTCAGCGTCCCGATGTTCCAGTCAAGGGGACAGCTCCTTGCAGTGGTTACCCGCTGTGGAGCGGGAGAAAAGAGAGGGAGAAAATTAAAGCATCCCGCACCACTGAACTGGAGGACACCGCTGGGTCAATAGCCATTAGGATTAAAGGACTGAATGTCAGGTAAGACCTCAGTGGTGCTATAGTCTGAGGGGTGGCTGCAGGTCACTGCTTCACCATCAGAGCTCCAACGGGCATGGCGAGAGCATGTGGAGAAGGGGGCTGAAGACATGCCGGGGAGACTGGGCCCTTGAGAGCATCTGAAAATCTCCACCGTGAGAATAGCATACTTCTCAAGATAAAAGCATTTCAAGCCATCCCTTCCATCTGAAAATAGAATTCCATGTGGATGTACTTAGAGTGCTTCAGCTATGGGAGGTGGGGGTTTTCTTACCACCGGCTGTAAAATAATAGATTAGGTGGTAAAGTTGTGTTTTTTATCCCTCTCCTAAATTGTAAGTCTAAAATATTAATTAGGAGAATGAATTTGGGAAAAACGACTTCTTGTTTTTACTGTCATAAGAATGAATGATGTTTTCAGGGACCCTTGAAGATTGTGAAACCTTATGATGGATATACTGTAACGGTTGGTCCTCACTTTAAAGATTGTGTTATTTAAAAAAATTGTTCTGTTTATTTAATAAAAAAAGGAATAAGATTTTATGGTGGCAGGATCCAATTGATAACAATTCAGGAAAAACCATGACTCTTCTGCATGGAGCATAATTAAGCTCTGTTTAGCTACCCTTTAGGACACAGCAGGAAAATGTGCTCAGTTACTAGACTTTTTTCTTTTCCAGTTTTAAAGGCCATACCAAATATTGGATGTGACATAACATCATGGAGTGGCTCATAAGGTAGGCCAGTCTTTAAGCCCTAGAATGATAACTCATTTTCTAACTGAAACTTGTATAAGTTGGCAGGAAAGCTGTATTTTATTGTATATGTATGTATGTGGATGTGTATGTATTACATGTATATATACATATATAAATGTATATGTATACCCACCTCTGTGTGTATGTGCATGTGTGTTTTAACCCACATGCAGTTTTGAAAGGTTGGTGCTTCCTACGACACTCACCTGTCTGCAATGCTTGCAGATTTAATTTTGTCTATGACAATGACCTGTTTGTTACAGCACATCGAGGTAGTAAGGGCAACCCCAAGGCTGGCACCAGGAGTTTTGGCAACTTCAACTAGTAATGGCCCGGATGCTGTTGCCACAGAGTCTATGAAAGAACAAATTTCAGAAAACAAAACAAAACAAATAAGCAAACAGACAAACACCAAAAAATGGAAAACATTCAGTCTGATATTGGTCTGAAACTTAGATTTTCTTCCAAATGACATCCCCTTAGCCAGTGGTAACTTCTTAGGGCATCTCTTAGGATACCTGTTCTATCTGGCTTGTATTCAATAATATGTGCACAAATTTGTTTCTTCAATTAAATTTTAAGCTTCATGTCATTTGGGATAAGGTCTGTGTATCTTTATGCTCTCCACGTCACTTGGTACATACAGTGCCTGGCACATACTACATCTTTCAGTAAATATTTTTACATTAATTAATTCAATAAACATCTTAGCATGTACTACGAATGGATGGATGGTTAAAAGAAAGGAAGGAAGGTAGGAATGGAAAGAGAGAGGGAGGGAGGTGGAATGGCTTGAAGGATGGACAGATGGGTGGATAAGTAGATGATGTTTCTAATTAGCCACTTAGTAGGAGTGCGTACACTAGGTTGCTTTTCTACATCCATTGGGTCTTTCCTTATTCTAGGCCTGATACAGGGTCACCTCTCCTTCAGGAGTGACTTTCCACATGCTTTCATTTTGCTTTAGAACACTCTACATTCCTTCAGTTCCTACTCACTTCTGGGAACTCAGCGTAAACATTAATTTCGCTGGGAAACCTCTCCTGATTCATGGTTTGGGAAGACACCTTTCTTTTGTGCACCCACACTCTACTATACTCCTGCTGTTGTAGCACACACCTCACTGTTTCATAATAGCCAGTATGGATTACACGCCTCTATCCTTTGCCAGACAGTAGGCTTGCTGTGAAAGCAGAGACTACGTCTTATTGATCACAGCATCCTCAGTGCCTGGGCTAATGATGGGTACATAGGAGATATGCAGTAGACAGTTGTTGAATGAATGTATGAACAAATGAGAAAACTCATGAAATTGTTTAAAGCTCATAAAAAGCAGGGGTCATACAGGTAAGAGCCCCAGACATACCGTTAAAACACCTGCATTTAATTATTCTTTTCAAAATATTTTAGTCATGGTACTTTAGACAAGTTACCAAAGCCTTCTAAGTCCGCTTGCTTACCTATAAAATGATATCTTTCCCTCAGTGTCTATTACAATGAAATCAATGTGTAATTAAACATTTAGTAATTCACAGAGTGTTAAACAGAGTAGTATTATTATTCGAACCTCTGTCTAAGATGGAGGCATAGGTAGATACACTTTGCTTCCTCGCACAACTAAAAGAAGGACAACAACAAATTTAAAAACTAAAAATAAGCAGAACTGCCAGAAAATCAAACCGTATGGAAGTCTGACAACCAAGGAGTTAAAGAAGAAACATTCACTCAGACTGGTAGGAGAGGGGGAGATGGGCAGCCAGGGCAGAGATGACGCATGGCAAGGTGGTAGCTGGAGGACCAGGCAGTCCCACATTTGTGTGGGGATGAGCCGGGAGGAACAGCTGGGGATCGAGACAGACTGTGCAACCCAGGGTTCCAGTGCATGAAAAGAAAGCCTCAAAACCTCTGGCTGTGGTGGCAGGAGAAACTCCCAGCCTCAAAGAAGAGTCCATTGGTGAGACCCAGAGGGTCCTAGAACGTACATGAACCCACCCACCTGGAAATCAGCACTAGAAGGGCCCAATTTGCCTGTGGGTATTGTGGGAAGGGACTGAAAGCCAGCCAAGAGCCACGCAAGCGACATTGTTTCCCTCTCTCTGACCCCACCACTGCACACAGTGTCACAACATAGGGAGCTGGGTGGCCCTGCCCTGGCGAATACCTAAGCCTCTACCCCTTATAATGTATCAGGTGCACTAAGACAAAGAAATATGGCCCAAATGAAAGAACAGATCAAAGCTCCAAAAATAGAACTAAGTGATAAAGAGATAGCCAACCTATCAGATGCACAGTTTCAAAATACTGGTAATCAGGATGCTCACAGAAATGGTTGAGTATGGTCACAAAATGGAGGGAAAAGTGAAGGTTATGCAAAATGGAATAAAACAACATATACAGGGAACCAACAGTAAAGGGAAGGAAACTGGGACTCAGATCAACAATTGGGAGAAGGAAGAGATAAACATCCAACCAGAACAGCATGAAGGAACAAGAATGAAAAAATATGAGAGGATTAGGATACTCTGGGACAACTTTAGACATTCCAACATCCGAATCATAGGGGTGCCAGAAGGAGAAGAAGAAGAGCAAGAAATTGAAAACTTATTTGAAAAAATAATGAAGGAGAACTTCCCCAATCTGGCAAAGGAAATAGACTTCCAGGAAATCCAGGAAGCTCAGAGAGTCCCAAAGAAATTGGACCCAAGGAAGCACACACCAATACACATCATAATTACATTACCCAAGATTAAAGATAAGGAGAGAATCTGAAAAGCAGCAAGAGAAAGGAGACAATTACCCATAAAGGAGTTCCCATAAGACTATTAGATGATTTCTCAAAAGAAACCTTGCAGGCAAGAAGAGGCTGGAAAGAAGTATTCAAAGTCGTGAAAGGCAAGGACCTACATCCAAGATTATCCAGGAAAGCCATCATTTAGAATGGAAGGGCAGATAAAGTGCTTCCCATATAAGGTCAAGTTAAAGGAGTTCATCATCACCAAGCCCTTATTATACAAAATGTTAAAGGGACTTATCTAAGAAAAAGAAGATCAAAAACTATAAACAGCAAAATGACAATAAACTCAGAACTATCAACAACTGAACCTAAAAACAAAAACAAACTAAGCAAACAACTAGAGCAGGAACAGAATCACAGAAATGGAGATCACATGGAGGGTTATCAGCAGGGAGGTGGAGAAGGGAGAATGGAGGAAAAGGTACATGGAATAAAAAGCATAAATAGTAGATAAAAAATAGGCAGGGGGAGATTAAGAGTAGTATAGGAAATGGAGAAGCCAAAGAACCTACATGTGTGACCCATGGACATGAACTAAGGAGGGAGGGAATGCTGGTAGGAGGTGGGTGGAGGGTGGAGGGGAATAAAGGGGAGAAACAAAATGGGACAACTATAATAGCAAAATCAATAAAATATATTAAAAAATATTATTATTATTGATATATGATGACCTCAAGCCTGGAGTCATCTCATTTTTCAAGACTGTACATTACTGTGTAATATTTTTCTGACTTTCTACTGCTCTGGTTTTTGAGACTTCATTAATAGAACTTTGTTTTTCTGCAAGCACATCTTTATCACCAATTTGCCACTCAGATCCAGTGAACTCGGAAATCTGTACTCCTATTGCTGAGGCTCAGGTAGTACACACTGACTCATGAAGCTGAAAGTTCCACGTGGAAAGCCATTTTCAATTTGAGATGAAATAACATATTTTTTAAATGAGGTAAACACAGAATATTCATGCCAGAAACATTCATATTCAGTGCTAAGGATTCTTATATGTGCAATGTTTCTTAAATGATTAGTAATATTGAAATAATTTAGTTCTAAAAAAAAGGAAATAATTTAGTCCTAAAAATGGTTGAGAGACATTACATTAGGGTTTATATCTTTTCCTGTCAAACTAGGGCAGAGTTTCATTACTAATAGCTGGGAGGAGTCAAGGGTCTTGGTCTTCTAAGAGGACTTCTTGGTTCTGAGGTTTAATGGCTACAATTTTCCCATTATATCATTACTAGCTCCCAGAGTTTGCTCCCAACCTAACACTACAGTGGCTGCTACTCTCTGGTGTTGCTAATCTTTCTGTGTTAATTTTCCTCACCTAGTAGTTTAGAGTCAGTGGTCCCTGTGGGCATATGCAACAGTGGTTTGCTTCTCATCTGTCTCAGTTGGAACCCTGTGGAAGAACTTCCAGTTAATCCCTTTGGCCCCTGTTTTGGTTGTCCTTCCATCATGTGAATGGGTAGTCGCTTCTGCCCACCTCTCAACTCTAATAGTCAAAGTTTGGCTGCCAACCCAAGAGCACGTGACCTGATGTCTCTAGTTCCACCCCTGAAGCTTGTTGGCCACCTCTTCCTTGAGCTACTCCCCAGTAACCTCTCTTCTTGCTCAGGTCAATCCTCACAGGAGCTCTGGCCTACCAGGGCGTTTTCTACATTATCTTCATACAACTTTAGAAAGATTAATTTCCCAAATGACTTCCCATAGACCTGTTGAATTTTAGTAGGTAGGTTTGTGAGGTGACAATCACATACGTTCTTCTCTCTGGTTTTTTCATATCTAAAGATAAACTTACTTGGCTTGACAGACGAAAGTAATGAAATTTCTCTGTTATTTATTAACTTAATCTCTTATAAATGACAGAAACTGATAGTTGTTCTTGGTATCCTATCTTTCTTTCTCTCTTCAGTAATAAGGTTCTTAAGTTTCAGCTGAACTAACAGCTGCCCAGCTAAGAAGAGCATTTCCCAGGTTTCTTTACAGTGAGGTGCAGCCATGACTAAGTTCTAGCCAATGGGAAGTGAATGGAAGTGAAACATGAACCATTCAGGATGTGCTCTTAAAAAAAATGGCTGCGCCTCACTCGGCCTCATTTCTTACTTCTTGCTGTTGCAAGCTGTGCCCAGAACTGTGAACCATCTCCAACCACAAAGACAAGGGCAAGGAGCCACAACACAGAGGAAGCATATGTTCATGAAACCATTATCTCCAGAGATTGCTTAATCTCCCCCAAAATGAACTAAGATCCTGCGCCTTAAAACCATGACGGGATACAAATGCTCTGGGTGCCTGGGAGAAGGTGCTGCCTGGCCCTAGGAGAATCTGCCAGGCTGGCTTAACTCTAGGGGAATCTAGGCAAACCATGATGATTGACAGCTGAACAGAACCATGGAGAAGGAGATGCTTAAGTCTTAGCAAGAAATAGATGGTACACTCAAATTAGGATTTGAGGAGAGTATAATAAAGGGACTATTTAGAAAGGTTATAGGGAAACCACAAGGGACAATGCAATACTCCAGGGCCAGAAGCAACAGGGTACCATATCTCATTAGGCCTG